TTATCTTCTAAATATACATTTAAGCTAGTTTTTTGGCTTAAAATAGGGTATCATTCCAGATAAAATGCGAATTTTAAATACTTTCATCTGTTTTAATTATGAAGTATTAGACTATAAGTATTGCACAATTTCATTTCCACTTGATATTGCCAACACTTTATGAATTTTTGTGTTCTATGGTTTCAATTTTAAACTTTACTGCAGTCAGGAGTGCAACAAAACTGCTTCATAATTACCAATGCTTTTTAACTATCTTTACTAAAAGATAAGTTGAAAAAAAATGCTTGGTACTATTTGATGTTCAAAAGACTATGTCTATCAACAAATTACAGAAATTTTACAGTCAATTCAGGGAATAGTTTTCATCATTTCACATATATTTTAAATACAATTTATATATATTACACTTTGCAAATAATCATGTTTTAAGGTCTTCAAAATATGAAAAACCTGCTGTAAACGATGAAAAATATCAGCACGACAAATTTATTTACAAAGTAAGAATGGGTTATTGTGTGTTATAATTTTTAAAACAATGTTAAATAAAATACATATCAGATGTCAGGAGTGCAACACAATAATGTAACATAGGGTCACTTCAAAATCTAGTATTTTTCATAAGAGAACTCCTATATAACAATTCTTTTTTGGCTTAGATTTAAAGAATTGACTTGAACGGACAAAAAAGTGAATTTTGGGGAATTTTATTTCTTCATATTTTTTTCATATTAAAACTTTTCAAACTAGAATTGAAAAAATAATGTAAAATAACAATCAAAAAGCCAATTTTTTGTCACATGTACAAGAGAAGATACTCATTCAAGGCCTAGATTTAATCATTTATACCCCTTTTACCATTTTGAAGCATAAAAAACTATAATTTCTTGTGATTATGTATTTTAGAAAGTCTTTTAAGGTGTAATGATATTTTCTTTTTCAAAAGAAATTTTACTAATAAAAATTCTGAAACCTTTTAATCCAATTGTCTATTCTATTGCCACTTCAGGATTTTAAACTAGAATGCATTTGCAATATGATGATGTAAGTGAAAAATATGTTATAAGTAGTTGAATTTTGCCAAAAAAATTCAGTTTGGTGGTCATTTTTTTTTAATTCACCCATTTATAAAATTATACCTTATATCTTTAAAGAAACTTTCACAAAAATAAGTCAAACTTGCATATACTGGTTAACATGTTAAAAGAAATATAATATCCTGGAAGTGATTAAGAATAAAAAAAAGTTCATTTATCATCCTTTTCTTTTGTTCTTCTTGGTGACTTTTTTTACAATAATGAAAGACATTTTACATTTTAGCTCATCTGAGAAGAGGCTCTAGTGAACTTTTCTGATCAAAGAGTCTCTGGTGTCTGTTCATCTGTCATCCCTAAAAATTAAACCCTAAAATATGGGTATCAAAGTTTGACATGGGAATAGATAGGAAAAAATCATCCTTTAATGAACAATGAGGTAATGATTTACTCATAATGTATGCAAGCATCCTCAAGTAGTGAAGATTCAAGTTGGTCTAAATCATGGGCCAGACAATATTATAAAAATATTAAAATATTCCATATTTGCATTTTTTTTTTTCAATTTTTTTCTTCTTTAAATAAATCTGAGATCAGATTTTATATATAAATTGGTAAATGCATGTATACATGTGAAAAAAAAAACTTTAGAAAACATATAAACCATGTTAGCCATATTGATAATGAAATATCCTCATGTTGTGGAATCAGTTTTAGATTAGACATGGCCTTATGACCCCAGGGTGGGGCCACAATATTAGCTCAAATTTGTTTTTATGAGAATTAAGGGGGATAAGAATGTCTTAGAAATCTGAAGAACATCAAGGTGACTCAAGTGAATGTTGTGGGCCAGGTCTCTTATTTGAATTGCACACTTTCATTCCCCCTGCAGATTTTTTTTTTACATCTTATTTGGCATATTTTTTAAGGAGAAAATTAATTTTTCTGACATTAATTTCCCTGCATTTTGTACACATCATAGAGTAATACTTTATATACATCTGGGCTTTCATATAAAGTGCTATTTTTAGATCAAGAGTGAGTCTCTTTAATTCTATTTTTAACACATTGCCATGTGGTTGGGACTACTTTCATGGCTGACATTGTCTTGTTGAACTAACAAGTATGCATTTAAAGAATTGTATCTATTGTAGTGAGTTTACATTTAAAAGAAAGGTTCTTCACAAATAGTTGTAGCCACTTAATTGGTTTTACTATTTAATATTTTTTTTGGATGTTTTGGTGCACTACTAAAACCTGTGGCTGCGCAGTCCTGCAGGTGTATTGTGCACTTCATAGCTGCAAACTGCTGCAAGTGTCAATTAAGCTACATATACCCAAAGATTGTTTTCATTATGAAGATGACATGGACTAGTTTTCAAGTGCTAGCAAGGCTTAATTTTTGAGATATTAAGATTTTTATTTTTAGTAAGTCTCACTTGGCTGCACACAAAACCAAACCCTTAAGGATAATGAGATTTACTTGGAAAACAACGAAGATATGAACAATTTCTAAAACGAGGTAAGTTATTGACAAACAAGTTGATGAAACAAGAATATCAGCTGTCTCGTTTAAAGTCATCATTTCGTAAGTTCTATGGTCGATACAATGACCTTGTTAGCAAATACAATCTATCAATAAGTCAAATACTGACTGACTTTTTTCATGCTAATAGTTAGGCCATTATTTACACACTTAATTGTTCACGGATTTTTCTGTTATTTCCCGATCATGACAAGGAGCACACGGCGGGTGTGACCGGTAGGCAGGGATGCTCACTCCTTCATGACACGGTGTAAGCTCTATCTGCTCTTATTTTGTAATGTTTAATGGATTTAAGAGCTCGAATACTGTTCGTTATCTCTACGTATTTCATATTAAGCTACAGCCAGGTATGTATATACTATACAGTATAAATCTTCGTGCTACAACCTACCGAATATGATTGTAGAAACGAATCGTCGAAATGCACAAGATTCACCAAAATACAGAAATGCCATTTTAATTCCACATTTCGCAATGTCTTATATCAGTTATATTTGCACACCACCTTCATAATTATGGGCTTGAATTGACAATTTCTCATATAAACTGAAATTGTTCCATATGTAATTCAACAATTAATTGTTACCATTTACACATAGCAGCAACAACTATAGCTTAATATTTACTCAAAATTTAAATATCATCTAGTATGTTTGCAAAGCTAAAAAATTACCTCTCTCTCTCTCTCTCTCTCTCTCTCTCTCTCTCATATCCTTCTTTTGTAGTCTTCAGAAATCTTTTATATAATTTGCGAAAATGAAACAGTCAAGGTTATATAATATACACACAAAAAGCACAACTGTATAGCGCCGGGCTTCTCTACCAAGTAGTCAATAGCTCTAAGTACAGGTGTGATAAACATAAACATTCGGTGCCTCCGGCTATATAGATATGTCCTAATATATTTTTAACGCAGGTGTGAAATCAAATTGACGAGATGAATGTTTTAATTCACATGCTTCGATAAATTCATTCTAGCGTCGAGTGATTTTGATTGAAAGCTGAGGCACGTGGACTTCGTGTGTTAACACGGACGAATGTGTTTATAGATCTCTGGTAAAATATAGGACATTAAAAACACAAATAAACTAAACAGAAGTTGAGAGAGCAAGAAATTTGCGTAAATTTCGGTGCGGTTTTTTTTGGGGGGAGGGGTTAGATTAATTTCAATGTGATCTTCAGGATATTAAAAAATTAAAAGTCACTGCAGGTACCCTTTAAATTCTTTTATTTTGAAATAGATAGAAAGAATACTAAGATTCACAGACCTGTGTTTTAAAAAGAGGTTACAAAAGAGAAAAAACGATTACTTCTTTTATCATATGCTAGCCATGCAATTTAATGGATTTTTTTTCTCTTAGCAAAACTTTTGTATATAATGGCACTATACGTAAATCTTCTAAAATAACATGAATTTGTAGTCTGAGGTTTGTTCCCCAGTACCACGTCAAACTAAAACGTGTAACACATTAAATGACTGTTTCTTCGCCAGGTATCCGGCATAAGAAGAGAAAGTCACGGATCTTTCAGATGTTACCTTAAATATAAAGGTCACTATTTGGTGAAATGCTGTTCATTTTATTCATGACTTTACGATCACATGATCATTGCTCATATATATTTTCGGGAATATATTTATAAATTAGCAATGTCCTTATGTGTGATATGTGTCCTTATGTGAAATATAAGGGGAAAAAAATCAAATGATGTAATGTCAGCAATTTATTATTCAAAGAAAAAAGCAAATTCATCTCCTCCGAGTAGTGTTTTTTTAATCTTACTTAAATGTTATTTCCGAGTTTAAAAATGCTTTGAATATTTTTTAACTTTTTTTTTAATTTGCATGCGTGCTTTTTGAAAAGAAGAGTTTGACTATAACTCGTTCGCGCTAGACTCGGAAGAACTCCATCAGAAAAAAAGAAAATATCTTCAATTTATATCAGAAAAGGCGTTACAGGCTTATTTATCGCACTACTCTTTATCAATGTAATTAAGCTCCCCTTCAATGTTTTTTTAAACTGAATAACTGGCATCAACTTCTTGTTATTTTGAGAACAAGAGTAAAATCCTATCCAGGGCACACTAAGTGTGATGAAGCCAAATAAGCAAGGCACTATTCTGAATTGATTATATTTTTATATCTTTGTTTTAATAGGTTTTCAGTATGTACTGCATTGAGCAGAACTCCGACATATTGTAAACAAAATGGTAAACATGCAAATCCCAAGAATAAGAACAATATTCATATGCGTGTCACGGAAAGCTTTGGAACGATAAGGAACCCTTGCCGGCACAGCCATACATAACATACATACATCAATGGACAATGGTGGCAGAATTAGTTATTTTTTTCTATGTATAGAGCATATTAACCTATTATTCAAACGCCCTCATACATACCCGATCACAAAAACACGTAGGCCTAAAACCAAGAACATACTTTATGGTCATCAAACAAAACCATTTCTTACACTCTATATTATCAAAATTCTATTGTCATCTATGGTGACTCACTGAACAATTGAAATAAAATATTTTCGAACAGACTTCAATACATGTTTAAGCCCCTTGTCAACGGGCATCGTTATATTTATATGAAAATGAGATTAAGAATTAATCCATTGCTCGAAATGCTTATAAATTAATTATAACCCATGTAGAAAACAAGTAAACACTTTATTCCAAGATATCATCGAAGCAGTATAAACAGAATGACTGGAATATTCTCAACAGAAATGATACAAAAGATAACTTAAAACAATTGTGTGCAATCGAATTACAACGAGTACTTGCAGTACTTTAATTCTTTATCAGTACTCTCAGTATATATTCTTTATCGTCTACATTTTATTTTCCCTCCTTTGCGACATTTACACCGCTGTCCTCTATTGTTCCTAAACCTCTGGTTTATCTTATAAATCTTTCCTAAATACACGCACTGTTTATTGTTTAACTTCTGTTTCAATCGTTTATTGTTTAGAGGATTTGGTTTACTTGTTTTTGCAGGGGATTTTTTGATGTCTTGAACTCGCTGTCTCGTTTGAGTTTTTTGTGAGGGCTGCACTTGATTGTTGCGATTGCTTCTTGTTACCATTTTTGCTCTGCTTGCACTGTTCTGTACAACTTCAGTTTTTCCATTCTTGGTCATTCTCATATTAGCATTTTGTTTAGAAGGTTGAATGTCACCTGATGGTGGGTTATTGTGTTTTCTTTCTTTTTTGAGAGGACTTGGTGTGGTAGTACTTGCTCTGGTGACGGTCGTCTTAAGTCGAGGCCGGTCCTTTACAGTGTAAAATTCAGCAACATTTTTAGCAGCCATTGGATTATAGTTATTTTTCGGGAGCATGTTGATCAAGTGTAACATATTCGATTGACTTCCATACTTCTTAAGCGCCGCTACGGGATTCTCTCGAGCCTCTTTCTGACGCCTCATGAAAACGATCTTTTCATAAAATGTAGCATTTTCAGGTAAGATATCTGGAACGAATCTATGTAAAGTATTTAATTTTGGATGATCTTTTTTCTGAGCAGTGTTAGTCTGAGTTACCAGTGGTGCAGCAGGTGCAGCATTTTGAGCAGGTGAATCACTTGTATACACAATAGGTGTTTCTTTATACAGTTGTTGACTAGTTACACTCACCATTGGAATCGACATTGTTGTGGAAGGGTTGTTAATGGGAATATCTTTAGATTGATCCACAACATCCATTCTCTGGGTTGCAGTATCTGTAAATTGAAAGTGAGAGTAATGAGAATTCGTGGTTCCTTGACTTTTCTGACCAGGACGTTCAGACATCAAAGTAGTGGTCGGTTTTTCTATCATTGAAGTCATTGGCAGTGTGGTCGATTCCGTCATAATCTGTATGCGTGGCTCTTTTGGTTCGGACATTGTTGGATTGTCTTTTATTTCAATGTGATGTTGATTGTGATTGTTGACGTAGGTGAAGGTTGTCATAGGGATGTTGGCTATTGTAGTTGTTGTAGATTCGTGCCGTGATTCTTTTGGGCTCGGACTCATATATACGACATACGTTTGACGTGTATCAGGACTAGCATTTTGTGTCGGAACAACTTTAATTCGAACTGTGGTATGTTTGTCTATTTCTGCTAAAAGAGATGTTAGTGGTCGAGATTTTACGGCAGTATTTTGTTTTGAATCTGTTTCTTTTATCTCTATTGTATTTTTGTCCGTTGTTGGAATAATTTTCGAAGCTGTCTTGGTAATCTCTTTCGCCTCTGTAATTGTAGTCGGAATACGATTTAGAGTAGGATTAACAGAGGAAACAGTCGTGACAACAGCAGATGAAGAAATGGAAGAAGAAGCAGTTGTTGTTTCTGTTGGTGTTGATGGGGTTTTAGCTGTCGTTATTGAAGGCGAACCTATTTTAAATGTGGATGTTTGGGATTTTTTTGTTCGGTATACTGGGTTTGTCGGTGGATGAACTTCTTTCTTACTTTTCACCATTTCTTTGTTGTACACTATCTCTATTGGAGAACTTTCCACTTTACTCTTTACCATCTCTCGCTGTTCTAATACCTCTTTCAAAAATTGTATAAAACTCTTGGTTGATGTTGCAGGTGGTAAAGTAGTCTCAATGATGATTTCTTCGAACGGTTTTTGAGTATCAGATCTAATTTTTATGTTATTAATCTTGGGAAAGATTGTAGTTGTGGCCTGTGTTTGAGAACCGGCTTGAAGTCCTTCAGGATTTTGAATTGAATTCTCCATTTGTATCGATTCCCCTTTTAACGAAAATGGAGTCACTCGAGATTGCTGACGGTTGAATGATTTTAAATCTTTTTCACTGTGCATATTTTCAAAGCTAATTACCTTGTACTTGTTGTTAGATTGTTCTTTGTTATAAACAAACTTTGTTCTTTTATTTTCACTTCCTGTGTTTGAATGTAGATTAAAACTCTTTGAAAAACTTTTGGTACCCAAGTTATCTAAGACCTGATTTGTTTTCTCTTGATTAACCAGTAAATTATCGGCATTAAACGCTGCATTTCCATTCGGTTTAGCGCCTTGATTACCCTTTGTATTTATAAGCTGTATGCCTGTGTTTTGTTCTTGTTTATTATCGCGCTTCATGAATTCTGTTTGTAAATTCTGTCCCTGGAATACATTGCTCCTTTCCTGTGATGGTTTGTGAGCGATACCTGTCTGAGGGAAATTGGCTCGATGCATTGGAATGTTTTCTTGGCTATGGTTAATATTCTTATCAGTGGGATTGTTCTGTTGTGGAATTCCAAAGTAAGAATTACTATGTCGATTGTTCGAATAATATTGTTGAGGAATAGCCAAATTAGGATTATTATTGTTATTTTGTTGCATCCCGGAGTAAGGATTATTGTAATTATTTATTGGATTTGCTTGATGTGGGATACCAGAATTACCGTAATTGTTTCCATTTATTGGACGGTCTTGTTGTTGTATTCTAAAATTACGGTTGTTGTTATGAGCTATTGGATCGGCTTGTTGTGGGGTCCTAGAATTTTGATTGTTGTTTAAGTACATTGGGTTTCTTTGTCTAGAGTTATCTAAGATAGGATAATTTTGATTATCCATCTGATATGCTTGTTGTAGAGTACCAAGGTTAGGATTACCGTTACGATTAACTGGTTGACCATTTATATTTCTCTCGCTGGAAATCGAACCAAAAGACCCAAATGAAGCTGGTACATTTACTTTCTCTTCCATTCTTATATTTTTACTAAAACCAAAAAATCCGTTTGTTGCATTATTTTGAAAACTTTTGGGTTGGTTTATATTCGCCATTTGCTGATTAAGGTTCTGTCCTTTACTTAATTGTTGATAAGGTTCCTGGCTTCCGCTTGTTCCGAGCTGATATGGAGCCCGGTCAGGTACTACATTGGCGGAAGGCATATTTATCTGCTGCTGAAATTCCGATTTGTTCGCCTGAAACTGGTTTTTACTATTATTAGGTCTTTGGCTATTCACATTCATAATGTCTCCATTTGTCGATAATGGATTTGTTTGGATAGGATCCTGGTTGAACGAATTTATTTGGTTTGGATTTAGGGCAGAACCAGGATTAAGAGATCGCTGTTGTTCAGCATACCCTCTGTTTTGTATTTGATTTTGAATGGAGTTCTCATTCTTTGGAATTAATTGTTGTCCAGCCTGACGCTCTAGTACACCGAATTCCAAGCTCTCTATTATATTTTTACTGACACCTGTATTTTGGAGCCATGATGTTGTTGTTGTCCGGAAGCCCTGATTAACTTTTGTAACTCCTTGACCACTTTGTTGCATTTCTATCATGCCAGGATCCTTAACAATACTTATCTCTGTAGTAATTGGTCCCCTTAAGATGTTTCCTTCATTCTTACTAGGTAGTCCGAAGTTTACATTTCCACTCATGTAAGGTCCAGAAAATCCGAATTGACCATTCATCTCGGATTTATGCGCACCACTATGTAGAGAAGCTGACTTATCTATACTTGGATAGTTCTTATCATATAGCATCTGCTGCCTATGAGCTGATCCATAGGGGTTTTGTCCAGTGATCACGCTATGGGCCTGAGCTTCTTTTACGTGGCTAGCTTGTAAAAATGCAGGACTTTGTGTTCCAGCCACCTCCCCAAGGTTTCGATAGCCGTTCATTGCCAGATTCAAACCATACTGAGATTGTCCACCCATCAGGATCTTATTCACATCCTGTATGACCACTTGGACTGGCTGTAATGTTGTTTGAGGTCTCCATTGGTATGCCGGCGATGTAAAACCCCCTTGTGACTGCCAGGCGCTTGGCGCCATCCGAAAATTTGATTGCACTGAATTGGATTGTCCTATAAGAAGAAAGATACTTATTTAAACACTTATCCATAGGTGTCCTCCCTTGTTTTCGATTGCTAAACATATTTTAAAATTGCTTGAAATTTTATTTATTTATTTATTTTTATTGTACAGTATTTCAAAACATGAATGTTTGAAGTGTGGAAGGACATTATCTCATTTAAAATAATCTAACGCTGGAGGTACATGCTGCTAACCATCTTTACAGTGGTGACGAGAAAAAAGTATGATACATCAAATAATGTCGCCAAGTGAATGTTCAGAGAATAAAGTATTAATAATAATATTGTATTTTTCATATCTATCTCAATGCTTCTTCTGTCTGTCTCTCTATATGTGAGGATCTCTGTCATTTTAAAACGCTTTTTTTAAACAATAACAACTGTAGTTCACTTCATCTATCTATATAATCCTACTTGAAAAGTAAGTGCAAAGGATTTTTGTAACTTTGTACCTTGATGATTATTATAAATGTGATATTGTACGTTGATTACAATAAGGATTAATGTTGTAAGTTGATTATTGTAGTAAAAGTTGGTTTTGTACTTTGATTATTGTATTGAATAACGATGTTTTTGTACCTTGAATATTATAATAAGTGTTGATGGTGTACCTTGATTATCATAGTACTTAGGCGTTGTAGATATTATAGATAAGTCGATGTTGTTCCTTGATTAATATTGTAGTGAGCGTTGACGTTTACCTTGATTATTATGCTAAGCGTTGTTATTTACCTTGATTATTATTGTAAGCGTTGACGTTTACCTTGATTTTTATTGTAAGCGTTGACGTTTACCTTGATTTTTATTGTAAGCGTTGACTTTTACCTTGGATTTTTTTTTATAATTGTTGATGTTGTATCTTGATTATTATTGTAAGCGTTGACTTTTACCTTGATTATTATGCTAAGCATTGATTTTTACCTTGATTATTATTGTAAGCGTTGACGTTTACCTTGATTATTATTGTAAGCGTTGACGTTTACCTTGATTATTATTGTAAGTGTTTATGTTGTATCTTGATTATTATTGTAAGTATTGACGTTTACCTTGATTATTATTGTAAGTGTTGATGTTGTATCTTGATTATTATTGTAAGTGTTGACGCTTACCTTGATTATTAGCTAACCGTTGACGTTTACCTTGATTATTAGCTAAGCGTTGACGTTTACCTTGATTATTATGATAAATGTTGTTGTTCCTCTCGATGTTGGGGCGTGTACATGAGATCCGCTCCCTGTTTATACAGGTACAGTGAGCCCCGTCTCTGTTGATTAGGCTTTGACCTGGACTGTACCACTGCCCGTTATAGTAACACTGGTCTGTGATCGTGGTTGTTTCCTGGACAAAGGACACGTGTAGCTTCTCCTGCTTGCTTCTTCCTAAGGAAAGTAATACTGTTTTAGAAAACAAATACAATTCATCACAAATACAATTCATCACGTTCAATGAAAAAAAAAACAGCAATATTTCTTCTATTACAAACAAAATGCAAATGAGCTACAAATCGAAGTGCATAGGTGTTTTATAAAATTGAATTTTAGGATCTTTTAAAGATATTTTCTGATAATTTGTATAATTTGTTTTTATCTTATAGTTACACTGTACAGAAGTTATCTCTCTTATACCTGTGCACAGTTACATTTGACACAATTAATCTGTCAAGTGTCTGTGTATGTACCCTAACAAAAAAATACTATAGTAAACTATAGTTAACTATAGTTTACTATAGTTAACTATAGTACCAAAGTAAAAACTTTGGAACTTTGAGTTACTATAGTAAAAACTTTGGAACTTTGATTTACTATAGTGAAAACTTTGGAACTTTGATTTACTATAGTGAAAACTTTGGAACTTTGATTTACTATAGTGAAAACTTTGGAACTTTGATTTACTATAGTGAAAACTTTGGAACTTTGATTTACTATAGTAAAAACTTTGGAACTTTGATTTACTATAGTGAAAACTTTGGAACTTTGATTTACTATAGTGAAAACTTTCGAACTTTGATTTACTATAGTAAAAACTTTGGAACTTTGATTAGGTACGATAAATCCCGTGGAATTATGTTTTTGATTCCCATTCTTTACATTTTATGTAATTTTATTTTATTTTATTTCAAGTTTGAGATTCATAAAAGCGTAAGAGAACATTTTAAAAACCCAACATTTCCCCTAAAAGAATAATGTACAAAATATCAATTTTAAATGTAAAGGTTGTCGCTTGCGCCGAAAAATAAGCAATATTTATTTCAATGTATTTAATTTTAATGTTATGCAGATGTAATGTAAGTCTTATTTATGGAAAAAAAAAATATATTATAAAAAAAAAAGTGTGCCATTTAGAATTAAAATATCTGCTTCATCAACTTCAATCAACATGTATTTTTTTTTAAATTTATTAATGTAAATATTGCATTCGAATTAACTACTTTGTATATTTAAATAAAGATGTACAGCAAAAACCAGTCCCAACCAACCCCATAAACAACCCCTCCCCTAAAACGGCTAAATAATCAAAAAAAATTAATAAAAATACATAAATTGTTAAACAAATGAAAAAAAAACTTTGGAACTTTGATTTACTATAGTGAAAACTTTGGAACTTTGATTTACTATAGTGAAAACTTTGGAACTTTGATTTACTATAGTTAACTTTAGTAAACTATAGTTAACTACCCTGTAAATACACCTTCGTTAATAATCATTTTCATAAAGAAATTACCATATGTACTTAATCTGTTAAGAACGTAACAGCGATAAACATATTGTCTATTCGGAACGTATTGGTGAAAACCCTTAAAACTTCATTATGGAATAAATAAAACTTCATCTATCTAAAGTATTAAAAAACTTATTTTTAGGTTATATGGCACTACCTCTTCGTACGATTTTTGGAATTTATTAGGGTTATGAAAATAAAGTAAAATAGTACAATAAGAAAAAAGAAATAAAACAATGTTCTAAACTTATTAGTGACATACATATATTTTACTTATTGGTGACAAACAAGCTAAACATGTAACATTGATCTACATATAACATTTACTTACGCTCTTCGGAACTTATTGGTGGCATACACATTTGTTTTCCACATTGGTTGTCGCAGCATTTCATTTCTGTCAATAAAAAATACACAAATAAATAAATGAATGAAAGAAGGACGTATTTTAAGGGTAACATTCAGGAATTTATTCTTCAGAAGATTGATAAATTCTTGTAAATCTTCAGTGTTTCCATTATTATAACCCAAAAAAGGGCTATTGAAAAATTCGAAAGACCTGAGAACTCATGTGATTTGACTAAATTTTCGACTTGAGAATATAGCCAAATATGTATTCCTTCAAAATAATTTTATCCGTATGTTAACATTTTAAACGTTAAGGACACACGCCACGTACCTTACCTACTGATAATTTTTCGAGGTATTCTTAATATAAGATTATAGTGCCATCAGATGTTTGTAGACAAAAAATCAGCATGCATTACCAGGGGTTTTGAAAAGATAACAATTAATGAAAATTCTTGTATAATTCGAAGAAAAATATACAAAAATTACTAAACATATATTCCAGATGTTTTGTTTATCCAAACTTGTTTTAGAAGAAGTGTTCAATAGCATATATAGATATTAAAAATGTAGCACACAGTTCCTTTAAGTATTGGAACTCTTCAACTCCAGGGAAAAAGACAATAAAGTTCAAACTACGGTGCGTATGTCCTTAAATGTTAGAAGTGCAGTATCTTTTGGGAAGGTAAAATAGTTTGGCGAATAATATAACAAGATGTGTTAATGAAACACTGATGTCCCCGTATGACAGCTTATGGTGAAGGTAAGTTTCTCAAATGCAAGTCAAAGTCCAGGTCAAGAGTTCCAACAGTTCAAAATTTATGGCGAAGGTTAAAGTTTTTGAAGGTTAAAGTTTTTGAAAAAAGTAAATAAAACGTCAAGGTCAAGGTCAAATTGGGCCCCAAGGGAATGTCTTTTCAAAAGTGATTCACATGTTCGTGAAACGTGAAAGCCCTAGAACCAAAGGTTCACAAATTATGGCCAAGGGAAACGTTTTTTAAAACTAGGTCGAACTCCAAGGTCATGGTGAATGCCAAAATTGTTGGTATCTAAAGGAAAGTCTTGCCCACGGAATGCATATGTAAAGTATGAAAGCCGTAGCACAAAATGTTTATAGATATGGCTAAGATATTTTTTTTTTCAAAAGTAGGTCAAACTCTAAGGTCAAGTTCAAAAGGACAAAGTGGTTGGTATCCAAAGGAAGGTCTTCTCACAAGGGATAAACATCCTAAATATGAAATATGATATGATTTTTTTTTTAATTGCACGTTTTAACCATATTCAGATGAAACACTTTATAAAAATTCTTTTTTTATTTTGAAAATTAAAAAAAAATGCAAAAGTTTGTTCTCCTTTAAGTCTTATGACCTATTTAATTATTCTTATCCCTGTGACAGCCTAAATACTGACTGTGCATTTTTTGAAATGTTATTTAAAAATATTAATAATTTATAATTCATTGCGTTTTATCTTTATATCTATTTTTGTACCAGAGTTGACTGGAACTATATGATGTATATAGGTTGTTTAAGTAGAATTAATCTTACTCGAATATCGAAATTGTAATGAGTTGCTTAAACTCTATTTTTCCATGATTTAAAGAATTCCTTACTGAAGATTTAGAATAGAAAATCTTAACTCTCGTTTTTTCTTCTAAGCTGGAATATTCCAGTTTTCTTTTATTTCTCATGTACTAGAGACGGATTTAAATTTGAATTTATGATGTGCCAAAATACTTTACAAAAACATAAATTCACATGCAGTGTGAGTCATTTCTGTCTTAACAGTGTTAAATCAAACTCTCATTCATCTCTTGAGAGGAATTACTACTGCAGTTGGAACTAAGGGCAAATAAAAACAGAAACTCAGGAAACTGCTAGTTATTTTTCTTTAACTACTAATTTTTCTCAAGAGCATATTCTTTACTTTTAGGAGGATGAGCACCATGTACCCCCTTTTAATTCACCACGAGATAATATTATAACAGTATATTGTAAAAATCTGTTACATCAGATAAATTGTAACACAGATTTATCTCCTGTCTTATAAAGGAGTCATTGGTTATCTTCTTTCCCCTTTAAATCAAGATGGTATTTAAACTTAGGTGGGATTTATTCCCTATTCCTTTCTTATTTTTTGTCTGTCACTCTGGTTTTTTTTTTTTTTTCCCTTAAGAATTTAAACTTGGCCCACGAGTCAAATTGGTATGAATTGTCCATCCCGGAAATAAAAGAAGTCAAAATTAGAACGTGCATCTATGCAAGCATATGCAGGACACAATAGTCAGTAGTTTATATTGGTCAATACAGGACATTATTTCAAAATTACCCGCTATGTTATCTGTAATTTTAGACTCCCCAGAAATGTGCTAAAGTTTAGTTGAAACACTCCTTTCTTTAGATAATATATGTTTAATCTAGAAAATTTATAACTTTCATTATTTGTGTTCATGTATGAGGAAGCAAGATTTTCAACAAAATCAATCGTCCATACTAAGAATGATTAGGATAAAAGGTAAATTGTAGCTCTAGATTTATATATATATTTTATATATCATGAAAATTTTATGATATTGGGATCATGCAATGACCGATGACGATTTATAAATCTGACGTTTAATTTTACACTGAAGGTGTAGTGAGCTAACAGACACATAAACAAATATAATACAAATATAATATGAATGAAATTTACTCACCCCTGGGACAGGTAAAGTCACTCTGACATCCATTTTCGAACACTGAGACACATACGCTAGGGGGACAGGAACCGGACTTCACGGCATGACGCAGCTGACCCGACAACTGGCCATGTACCTGTTAACAGGAAAACAAATAGCTAAACAAAAAATGTAAAGATATCGAACAGTTAACATTCTAAAGTTTATTTAAACAATACAAATTATGAGCAGAGCCTAAACTGGCCTCTGAAAACAGAGGTGGGATCAGGTGCCATGGAGGAGTAAGTATTTACTGCGGTCCAGTCACACCAGCCGTGCTCTTCTTGTTATGATGGGTAATCAGGGAAATTTCTATTCAATTCAGCGTAAAATTAATGACCTTACAATTTGTATTTAAGACTTCGTCAGCATTGAACGACTAATTGTATTTGCAAACAACGCAGCTATGTATAGGCTGTCCGAAGGCTTATTATGCATTAGAAATTGCTATTTAATTTTGAGCTAGGTTTTGATTTCATTTTGTAATCTGTGTATACATGTATAGTCAATTTGTGAAGAGAGTTTAATCAGGTATTATAAAAAAAGCAATTAACAGATCACGTGACGAACACATTAATTTTCCTAAATGTTGCACAAAAATTGCATCGGCACAAGTGAAAAATAAAATTATTGTTAACGGTTTGTTACGTAAGTCAATTAATCGTATCCTTTTGTATAAGTGTTATGACCAAGTCTGAATTTTACTTCCTAAAAAAATATTTTACGAGAAATTCAACTTACTCTTATACAAGGGGTCATTTTCCACTCTTCATCGCAATTTATACAAAGTAGGATATATTACATACAATTCGCCAGCAAAATATCAGTTAGAGGACATACTTCGACGATAGATTCACATAGAATATCCTCGATTTATTCTGTTTAATCACTTGTGCCAATCTTATATATATTCCATATATAAATTCTAAGTCTGTCTGTGTAAGGGTAAGCGTTTTACATTTATTTTTTTCGTTATTATTTGATTACGTACACATCACACAAGAGGAGGGAATAACGATATTATATTGCAAATGTTCACCATTATAACAGCATATTGAAGCTTAAAACAATAATCTCGACACCTAAATAAAACATCAACGTAAAACAAATTCCACATGTCATATGAAAGGAATGTAAAAGTTATAACACTTTCCCCGTCATGTCAGCTCAAGTTCGCAGTGACATATGCAATTATGACGTCATATCTAGGTAGTTCAAAAAAGTAACTACGGCTGGTACACTGAAATTTTTACGGACAGCCTTATCCTAGCCCAACGGTCAATGTGTCAATTACAGAATGTACGAAAAGTAGACCTTAGATGGCATTGTTGATATTCATGTTTAATGAACTTATTTGTCAAAAGCTTGAGATCTCCAGTCCTTTCAGATTGAACCATGACTACAGTTGACTAAATTAGAGCCTATAGGGAGTAAAGATAGAAACTCGGAAGAGCATTTGCTGGACCAAGCCATGCATATTTGCTTGTAATGATTTAAGTGAAGTTTAGGACTACGGTATAGCTAGGATGGATCAAACTCTTCGCCGTTGACTGCAATTTTAAAAGGAGTAAAGTCTGAAATGTGATTTGAAAGATTTTGTTTTTCATTCTTAGAAAGTGGACTGTGAGTATAGGTTGGAATACCAAATATAGAATTAAAGCCACATTATAATAATGAGCCATACAACAAAGATGATATAATTACAAGCCTTGTTTGCTGGAACCATTACATACTCTTCATATAGTTGTAGGAAATGCAGGGTGGAAATTTCATTCGCAAATTTAACTTTAAGGAAAAAACGATTGAACCGAAATTATTATCTTCCGACACATGTGGCGGCGTAAAGAACATGCTCTAGACAATACACTAGCTTGCATTCTGTAGCTGAAGATTTCAAGTATGGTCTTGCTTCAGCTTATTCAAATAGTACATTCAAAATTTTCAATGGAACCGAGTAAAGGTTAATACGAATTGGATGACGATCTACTTGTTTAAGGTAATTTGAGGAAAAGAGAATCAAAAGAGACATTATTTATATTTGGTCTATTATATGATCAGTGTACATGACTACGCGTACGTCTAGGTGTGTTGTTAAAAAGTCCCATCTCATTTACGTTGGCACATTGTGGACTTGAGAGATCTCCTACATTATATATGTAGTCGTTGCAACCATACAGAAATGCAGTGTCTAGTTTCCTGATCCAGTATTCCTCTCCTTGTGTACGAAATAGAGTGTTTAAAGTGGGACTAGAACAGAATCTACCATTGAGTAAACCAGAATGTTTGACAGGGGAACACACACAGCCTGTTTTAAAGTTGAAAGTCCGATATTGTCAACGCACACCACATATAAAGTCATATTTCCGAGTTTAAAAATGCATACTGAGTCTAAAATGTGTTCCATACTGGCTGGAGAATACAGAGTGTTTGACATATGAACTATCATTTTTTAGGTCAAATATTGCTGGAGTAGAACTCAAAACGTGCAACAATGTTATTAAGACTCTGTCGTTGAACAAATTAGTTGTCCAAATGAATAATAATATCGATAAACTTCATAGATTTTAAATAGATCTACTTTCCTAAAATGTCAAAGTTAAAATATTTTTTTTAATCCAGTAGAATATCTATCTGAAAAGATTTACAAAGAAAAGTACGCTAAGATGAAAATAACGACTTTAAGTGCTGAATATAATTACTGCGAACACGACAATGTAAGGGATTAAGCTTGAGGTGGTTGTCTGACAAATTTAATAGAATATATCACCGAGAGAGTTAGCCATGTCATCTGTCTGAATCCTAATACGCCCGCCGTTATGTTTCCTGTTCAAAAAACACAAATGTATTTAGTTTGCATTTAAATAAGAGTCTATCCTTGATACTTCAGTGGCATTTGACAGCTAAAGTTCTAAATGAAATGTGATGATAACGAACAGTGGTCATGTTCAAAAGTCCATTTAAACAATACAAATTGTGAGCAGATCCAACATGGACCCCTGGAACTAGAGTTGGGATCAGATGGAAGAAAAGATTATTTGTTAGAACACCTCCTATAGTCACATTCTCCTTATCTTTATTTATTCAATCGTTCCTTTTTTAGTCACATTTTTCCTGTAAGCTGTACTATGCTTCCTTTCCTGTCTATATTTACCTACAGTCTCAAGGTATAAAACTTCTTAACATATTTCATATCAAAGGTCAAATATTCCCGTCTTTTTATGCTTTTTATCTGTAGTCACCCATTTAATGTCTATAGTCAGAAACTTTCTGCTTATTGTAGTAGTACAACTGTCTCAAGTATTTCTGCTTATAGTTATATTATATCCGTATTCTTATTGATAGGTAAAAAGGTAATATATAATCCGCAATAGTATATCATTCCAACGCAAAAGAGGACACCGGGATAACAATGATAAATTTAACAAACACTTCGGACATAAATTTTACCTTAATCAAAAAAAACATACTATTTATATTCATTTCATTACATTCAGTATGTCGAGATTATCAGATCACTGCATTCTTCTCAATCTCCTAGCTATAATTTAAAATTCGGGATATGCTCATCTACATCAGATTTAGACATGTTTATATCCTGCATTACTATCTTTAGTTTTATTGTTTAAGGCGATAACTTGCAATGTGCTTGATTATTCATAGTCCTATAGCTGCAGAATGTCTGAATCACTGTTTTGTGTTTGTACCAAATTTAGCTACGAAATCGTCGGTGTTCTTGATAAATAACTGGAGCTCACGACGGGTCCATGTTTATGCCCTGTTGACAGATTTGTATTGTTTAAGTTTTTATGAGATCGATCACTGTTATCTTTTCCTTTATCATTTTAACAACTTTCTACTACGTTTCGTTAAACGTGTCTTTCTATGGAGATTCATGATTTATATCAATATTAAAACTGTGTATCAGTCGACTGGATGAGAAAAAGCTTTATATCAAAATATTATACTTTTTTTTTCAAATTGCTAAGTCTTTTGAGGTTTGTCATGATTATATTTGACTTCATTAAAGTCCTTGACCTTAATTGTTCAACTCAGGGCACAATCAAGGTCAAATGTACCTGGAAATCAAGAGTGGCAGAGTATTTGTCTTCACAACAAAGGAAAATGTCAACAGATTAAATTTTAACACGTCAATAGGTAGCTAAGTGTTTATTCTCAAAAAAATCTTAAAAGTTATTAGGATATATTTACTAGCTTGAAATATACGGATATATATTTAATTGTTTTGGAAAAATTAAGAAATTATTTTAAAATTAAGGACTATCTCCTTCATGCATAGTTCTGATCCTTCGATGTAATTGGCTCAAGTCTTTGGCACTTCTTTTTTCAGCTCTTCAGAGTTTTTTTTTTTTTTTTAATGAAATATTTCGGATTGCCAACGATTCGGTATGACCATCACTGAAGAGACATATTTATCGAAATGCGCATCTGGTGCATCGAAATTGATACAGTATATGATTTACATTATGACCCCTGGGTCGAGGCCTTTGCCGGTGGACTTTTAGTCCCCTAGGGTCTCAACAGCCTAAAATCTAAGTACTTCAGTACTAGTTTGAAAAAAAACGGATATATATTTAATTGCTGTGGTAGAATTTAAAAATTTATATCAAAATATTAAGGATAATTTCCCTGATGCATAGCTCTGACCCTTCGACGAATTTGGCTCCAGTCTTTAACACATCTTTTTTCCAGCTCTTCAAAGTTTTTTTTTTCTTAAATGAAATATTTCAGATTGCCAGCGTTTCGGTATGAGCATCATTGAAGAGACATAATTTGTTGAAATGCGCACCTGCTGCAACAAAATTGGTACCGTATATAGTTTTCATTAAGTTAACACTTGTAACTGTACTTGAAAAATAAGATCAAACTATTTTGAATAGAATTCCGATGTTCGCATTTATAGCCATTAGAGGTAAAATTTCTTTTAATAGTTCATTAGTTTCGTCAGTTTCCAGTAAATCAATTATTGATTACAGGACTATGAATTTATTTTAATTAGAAATTACATATAATTTCTGCAATGCCAGTTTAGCAGAAATCAACATTAATTACCAAATAATTAGAAAACTTACCGATGCA